TCCTTGGTCTGGGATCCATTCCAGGATCACACACTGCAGTCAGTCACCAACACATTGCCTCCTTTAACCTGCAATAGTTCCTCGGTCATTTTTTGCCTTTTGTGCCCTTGACATTTTGAAGCATAAAGACCAATTTATTTGTAGAATGTTCCTCCTTCTGGCTTTGTCTGATGTTTCATGATTAGATTGGGGTTCTGTATTTTTGGCAGTGATGCTGCAGAAGTGATGCTGTGTCCTCAGCGCATCGTCTCAAGAGGCACATGGTAACGGCTTGCTCCATTATTGGGTGATGTTAAATTTGACATCTTGGTTGAGATGGGACACTCCAAGATTCCTCACTATGAAGCCACTGCTTCCCCCTTGGTAATTAAGCAATAGCCAGGAAGGCACTGTGAGCCTATGTAAATATATGGTTCATCATGCAACCCATCTACTATTTTGGGCAACCTTGATGAGTTTCTAATTCTGTCATTTCAATTTTTTTATTGTTGAATTCCTATTATAGGAAAGAATATTTATTTAATTCATTATGAACTCACAGGATGTTATTCAATCGGTGGTTATACATTATTACTAAAATCTCAAACCCTGTTTAGGTATGAGTGAGCATCTGTAATGTCCCACACCCACTTTCTATACCTCTCCTTTCACTGTTACCACCCATTTGTCTAATTAACAGAGTCTCTATTGTTAGTCCAAGATAAAGATAGCTGAAGCATTTTTCAGTGTCTATTCCTAAATTAGGAAAATTGAATATAGAGTATAGATTAAAGCAAACATGCATATTTACATCACAGTGCCTATGCTGAAGAATTTAAAGTAAATTATAGAGTATATAACAGTGATTAAACCTGAGAAGTCAACAGAATGAAAAGCTGGGTAATGCTAAGAGGAAATGCACCCACCTCCTCCTAGAGCTGAATTAGTATGGTTGTTTTGCTCTCTGTCTGAATACAAGTTCAGCTCAGTCCCTCTTGTTTTTGCTCTTGGAAGTCCACCTTGCCTGCGTGGAGCTCTGTCTCCCTGCTCCCCACTGAGCTGTAGCTTAACAACAAACGTCCTGCCCTCACTGGCGGAGGCAGAGGTGGCCCAGCACCTCTGTATCTGGGCAGGTAAGTAGGTCTAATGCTCAGATTCCATGACAAGGCCCATTTGCCTTAACAAAGCCACTTCCTCTAACCTAGCCTTGACCCAGTAATAAAGTTGATATTTTGGCCTTTCTCCAAAGAGTACTTCCTGTCTTATTTCTCAGTTGACTTGGAACCTGGCTGGGAAGAGGCAAAATTTATTGGAGTCCTCAGCCTTCCAAGGTCTACCCTTTCCATTTCTGCCTCAAGGCAGTTAAGCAGCCTACTGGGGCTGACGACTTCTCTCAGCCTTCAACAGGCAGAAAGGTCATCAGACGAAGATGAATACCTGAGAGGCTGACTCATCCTCCTACTAAATGCTAGTGCTCCCCAGGATCCATATCGGAGCCTCATTTCTCACTCTCACCTCCTCCCAAGTTGACTTTCCACTCAGCAGCCAGAATTATGCTGTGAAACGAAACCACACCTCTTCTCTGCTCGGAACCCTCCATGACGCCCATCGCTCTCAGAGTAAAAGCCAAAGTCCTTCCCGTGGCCTACTGAAATAGAAGCATGGGTCGGACTACAAAATGAGAGGGCTAGACTCCCTGTATCTTGCCTGTGGTCCCGTCCCTCACTACCTGTCTAAATTCTTCCTCCTACTCTTCCCTTGCTCTCTTCTCTCCAGCCACCCTAGCCTTGCCTTGTTGCTCTAACATCCTGGGCATAGTTTGTCCTCAAGACCACTGCCCTGGCTGTTCTCTCTTTCTGGGACAATTTTCCCTCATTTAGCTGCATGACTCATTCCTTACCTTCTTTGATATTTTCCCAAAAGTCATCTTCTCAGTGAGACCATTGCTGGACACACCCCTACCTTGACTGCAACCCACTACCCACTCCTGCCAAATACATACATCTCTTTAATCTCTCTTCAGCACTTATTAGCACCTAATATTACTATGTATTCTATTGTTAATTGTCTGTGTCTCACCAGTAAAATGTAAGATCTCTCAGGACAGGGTATACAACAGAAGAAAGAATCTGAAAGCTGGAATACAGAGAGATTATGCAGAATGCCACTGTTATGGATGGAATGCTCCCCTTCAAGGTGTGACCCTCCCTCTCAATTCCTATGTTGCAGCCCTAGCCCCCAGTGTGGCTGTATTTGGAGATGAGGCCTTTAAGTAAGTGATTAAGGGTGGGGTCCTGATCCAATGGGATTAATGCCCTTATAAGAAGAGACACGGAACATCTCCCCTTCCAGCTGCTTCTCTCTGTGTGCCCAGAGAGGTCATGTGAACACACAGTGAGTTGGTGGCTATCTATAAGCCAGGAAGTGGCTTCCCTGATGGCTTAGTGGGTAAAGAATCCACCTGGAATGCAGGAGACATAGGAGATGCGGGTTCGATTGCTGGGTTGGGAAGATTCTCTGCAGAAGGAAAATTGAAACCCACTCCAGTATTCTTGCCTGAAAAATCCCATGGACAGAGGAGCCTGGTGGGCTATAGTCCAAAGGGTCACAAGTGGTGTGACATGAATGAGTGACTAAGCATGCACACACACCCACAGGCCAGGAAGAGAGTTCTCACTAGAAACCAAATCTATCAGCATGTTGATCTGATGTTTAGCTTCTGAAACTATGAGGAAAATAATTTCAGTTGTTTATTCCAACAAATCTTATGGCAGCCTCAGCAGACTAACATAGCCATATAGAGAAATTTTGTTTTAAAGACACACAAAAATATGGTAGAAATAAATCTAATATGTGAGTAGTTATGCAAACATAAAGAGAATTTAAAACAGAGATTTCCAGACTAAATTTTTAAGAATAAAAATGTAAATGTTAGTAGATAAATGTTAGTTACAGAAAATATACCTAAAACAATATAATAGAAAGACTAGGTTTTGGGGGGACAAAAAATGGAAAAATATGCATTAATCAAATGATATTTGTTTACTAACCAACTGAAATAATATCAGACAAAATAAAGTTTAAGGCAAAATCATTACTAGACAGAAAGATGGTAGCTACATAAAATTGTACAACTTCAATTTATCAGGAAAATAATAACAATTCTAAACTTGTGTAGACTTAGTAATAAAACCTGAAGCAACATAAAACAAAATTGATAGAATAATCCCCAGCTCAGTATATGAAGCTCTCATAACCTTGACACCACAAACAGAAAGGGACAGTATGAGAAAGGAAAATGGTGCGTTTTCTCACTCATGAACATGACTGCAAAAGTCCTAAAAAAACGTAGTAACCAAATCGAGCGACGCAAAAATAAAAACCAAAATAATACATCATGGGGGCTTCTCTGGTAGCTCAGCTGGTAAAGAATCTGCCTGTAATGCAGGGGACCCCAGTACAATTCCTGGGTTGGGAAGGTCCCCTAGAGAAGGGATAGCTACCCACTCCAGTGTCCTTGGACTTCCCTGGTGGCCCAGATGGTGAAGAATCCGTCTGTAATGTGGGAGACCTGGGTTCGATCCCTGGGTTGGGAAGATCCCCTGGAGGAGGGCACGGCAACCCACTCCAGTATTCTTGCCTGGAGAATCCCCGTGGACAGAGGAGCCTGGTGAGCTACAGTCCATGGGTCACAGAGACTCAGACACAACCGAGTGACTAAGCACAGCACAGCACAGCACATCATGACCAGTTTATCTTAGGAATGTGAGTTGGGCTAAATAATAGTATCACTGTTACAATTCATTTTCCAACAAATCAAAGGAGAAAAAATACATGATTATATCAATAGACAGTATTGCCACTAACACCTGCAGGGCTTGGAGCATGAGTACAGATGGAAGCCACATATCATTAAAATGATTTTTAAAAGTTATAAATCAATCTAGAAAATTGATAAAATATGCTTTGTCCTCCTACCTTGATAAATATACCTCCATAAGGACAAAGTTTTTAAATACACACAAAGCCTTGGTTTTTTAAAAATACTAAGAGCATGCAAAAACATCCAAGATGACTAAATTTAAGTATTATTCTGTATGTCTGGGTAGTCTTTTAAAGGATTGGCTATGTTTACATGAATAATAAAGTGAAAACACATATAATTCATAAGGTATACTTTTGTTCCATAAAATATATTTTCCTCACTTCTGTTTTAGTAAAATTACTAATTTTGATGTTATAATCAAGGTGTTTATGTTGATGGTAATGATCTAAATGATTGAAAATAAAATATAATTTTATAAAAGGATAAAAAATTTAAACATATTTTCATCAAAAATGTAAATAAACTAAGATAAATGTAAAAATTGAAAAAATAAAATTATTATTATTATATTTTCCAAGTAAAATTATTTTATATGTTTATATTTTCTATTTTATTATATTTTGAATTATTTTATTACATTTTATAAAATTATTTTTATCATACTTATACCCAGGACTAGAGTGTAACATATGCTTATGAAGAGAAATCTGCAAATAAGTTCAGCAGGCCCAAATTCTACCCCCAAATTTCCATCATATTGTAAACCATCAGTGGGTTAGATGGTATTGATTATAAACATGAAATTAAAGACTAATCAAACAGTCTGTGAGGTTCCACATACGTGACCTAGGAGACACACTTTTTGACTGTTTTACAGAATAATGCCCCCCTAGAAAGATACCCACATCCTAATTCCAGAACCCAGGAATATATTACATTCATTACACAGCAAAGAGGAATTAAGTTTGCCAATCAACCGATCTTAAAATAGAGAGATTATCCTGTATGATGCAGTTGGATGCAATGTGATCACAGGGATCCTTGAAAGTAGAAGAGAGATTCAGATGTTCAGAATGATGTGTTGTGAAAAGGATTTGCATTCACTATTGCTGGCTTTGAAGGTGAAGGAAGGGGCCACAAGCCAAGCAATTTGGTGTTTCTAGAAGCTGGAGAAAGCAAGAGAATGAATTCTTACCTAACACCAGAAAGGCAGCCCGGCTGACATTTCAGTCACAACCCACTGACACTGGTGTGAACTTCTGACTTGCAGAACTCTGAGAGAATAAGATTGTGTTGTTTTCAGTCTCAAGTTTATGGTAACTTGTTAAGGCAGCAAAGGGAAATTGATATAGCCACCCAGTCTTTTAACTCCACTCCTATGTTGTTGGAATCCACACCCTCTTGAAGCAGAAGCCCCCTGTAGAAAATTAGGATACCTCTTCCTGGCTTCTCTTGCAGTGAAAGAGGACAGGAGGTCACGGACCCTGTGTCTACCAATTATATACCTGCTGTAAAAAAACCCATGAGCCTTGTGCCCTGGCCCTCATGGAGATGCTGGGAGCTTAATAAATTCCTTTTCTGCTAAATTAGCCAGAGCTGGTTTCTGTGGATTGTAACTCGGAAGCCTCAGTAAACCAAGTATGAATAGATAATTTATTCAAAAAGAGAAAGAAACTGTCAAGCTCAGGAGAGGAAGTTCACCCTAGCTGGTAGTCAAAGAAACTCAAAGCAGGGTTGAGATGCTATACTATAATTACTAAAATTAAAAGCAATTGCTTTTGTGGCAAGACGGTTACTTTTGTTTATAGCTAGTAACTATATGGATGGATTGTATGGAAAGCGGTAATAGAAAAATGAAAAAAAATCTGTAAACATGTTCTTAGCTCTTGACCTACCAATTCCCCGGAAAACATAGCGAAGTGTGTGTGGTAAGATGAAACTTCATTATTTGTGTATTTGTGAGAGAGATTACTGATGCAGGCTTGAAATGTGTTGGGTCGAGGATGATAAAATTTGCTTTAGGACTCCAGGAAATTTCAGGGAACCAAGGAATAAAGACCCAACTCAGTTTCCTGAAATGTAAAGTTCCTGGAGATGTCATGGTGGAAGACCTAGCACTGGAAAGGGCAGTGAATCCCCAGAGAGAATATTTGCATGAAGGTGGAGCTGACCAAGCTCTGACCTGGTCCTTTCCAATGGCAGTTCTCTGAGGGCATTTCACAGGCCACAGGCCCCTTTAATCACATGCCTGGCTACAGGGCACACACCTCACAAGCCTGTCTCTAGACCTCCCCTAGCTATCATCACTGAGGGAGCAAGTGCCCAGGACTCAGCAGGCCCTCGGGTTCTTTTCATTTAAACTGGAGAGAATAAAATCATTTGAATAGGATCAGTAGGAATACTTGTAGCAAATAGTAGTCAGGTGAATTCCCAGCTCACAACAGTTGCCCCTCTTAGAGCACTGCCCCAACCCCAGGGGAAGCTGAAGTAATGACACGCCATGTCCTTGCCACCTAACCCTGACCTCTGGCCACCTCTTAGGGGTAGACAACTGACCTAAACTGGACCAGGTTTTGAAATTTGCATGGCGAGACGGAAGCTGGTTGAAGCATACCTTAGCGCCTGTGTCCACACACTCCAGTTGCTGAGGCCTCCGTGGACAGCAAGCCAAGGAACCTACAGGTGCTGCCGTTAGGTCTTGGAGGCAGGGTGGGGAGAGGTTCGCTGTTGCTTCAAGGCCTGGGCCCCGCCAGCAGGCGGCCGTGGGAGGGGTCTGGGTCTCTGCAGGACATAGCCTTCATCCTGTTCCCGGTCCCCCAGCTCACCAGCCAGTCGAAAGGCTGGAGGGCCTGGAGGGCCCGGGGTGAGAAGACTGCCATCCACCCGTGCCCACATCTCACCCGGGAGGACCATTACGAACTGACCAAGCTGACCGTTGGTGGCCGTGACCTCTGACCCCATGCTCAAGTCCATCACTAACAGCTGCACGCCGGCCCTGTCCCTCTTACACAACCAGTTGTTCTGGCACATTTATCTACTTATTATTTGGAAGTAAAATGTGAATGTTTACTGCCTTTCTTTTACTGCAGTTTTTTAAATCTATCTTTTTTTTTTTGCCATGAACTTCAGTTTTATTTTTTTTTATTAGTTGGAGGCTAATGACTTTACAATATTGTAGTGGTTTTTGTCATACATTGACATGAATCAGCCATGGATATACATGTATTCCCCATCCCGATCCCCCC